AATGACTAAAAAAATTTGAAAAACGATAGGTTGCCTCCAACCAAGCACCGTATTTAACGTCATGGCACGACGCAAATCAACTTTACCACTTTTCTCGCCACTTGGATGATATGAACTGGGAATCCAACTTGGAATCAAGCTTGTGACCACGAGCGATGGGGGTGGTAAGTCNTGCGGTTATCGAAGGATATAGTGATGCAAATTGGATAACCGGCTCAACAGAAACAAAGTCCACAGGTGGATATGTTTTTACTGTTGGTGGAGGAACAGTATCTTGAAAATCTTCTAAACAGACGTGTATCGCTCGTTCTACAATGGAATCAGAGTTTATAGCTTTGGATAAAGCCGGTGAAGAAGCTGAATGGCTTCGAAATTTCTTAGAAGACATTCTGTTCTGGCCAAAGCCTTTGGCTCCTATTTGCATACATTGTGATAGTGAGGCTGTCATAGGACGAGCAGGGAGCGTTATGTACAACGGAAAGTCTCGTCATATACGACGAAGACATAACACCGTTAGACAACTACTTTCTAGTGGAATTATCACTATTGATTATGTAAAATCAAAGGATAATGTGGCGGATCCGCTTACAAAAAGCTTAACTAGAGAGGGAGTTGAGAAATCATCTAAAGGAATGGGACTATGGCCGAGGACAAGTCAGCATGGCGGTAACTCTACCTAGAATCTTGGATGTTCCGAGATTTAGGTTCAAGGAGCTCAAACAAAGTTGTGATTGACCGGTTCAACATTGTCAAAATAAAATCTTTGGTCCATTCTCGTGATGAAGACAATGTTCAGTAACAAGGATAGAACTTTACACGTTCTTTAATGATTACCAAAGTTTGATGAGGTATCTATCAAATAGTGTCAATCTAAAAGATTACACGCTTAGGAATCACCTACGTAAGTGTGAAGTGTAAACCGTTTCAAGGAGAATTCTGTAAGGCCAATTCTCTACGCACTTATGAGACCAGGCGGTGTTCATAGCTAAAACGAACACAACAATTCCAACCAAAAGACGGTTAAGGGTCNTTTTACGGTATTTAGCAAGAAACTTTCTTTTAAGCATTTTATCGAACATCTTGCAAGCAGCTTAACATGGCCTCTTCTTCACACAATTTGGGTACTCAGATTTCCCACAAATTTATTTCAACAAGAGCAGCACACACACATGAATCTCTCAACCAATTTCCCTCACTTCCTAAATCTAACAGCAATTAAATCGAAAATAAAAACATTAAATAAAATAGAAAAAAATATGTGGGGCTGTTGGCAATGAAGAAGAAGAGAGAAAGAGAGAAAAGAGAAGAGAAGTAGATGAGACTTAAAAGAAAATACCTGAGTTTCGTGTGAGTGCAGTAGAAATTATGAGTAGTGGATGTTTTGGAGATTGTAAGAGCTTGGGGGAGTTAGGACTGGGGGAATAGATGCAGAGGATACCTGGGCGTTTAGCAGTATGCAGAGTATATAGACTTCTAAATTTTTTTTAACACTGCTCGATTTCCGCATCTGCGGTTTTTTTACCGCTTCTGCGGATCTACAGAAACTGCCGCTTCTGCAATTTGAAATCACTTCTGTGAGACCGCATCTGCGGTTAAACATCCGCAGATGCGGTTACACCAGAAGATTGGTGCACAAATTCTGCAGCTACTGGTTTTGGCCCTCCGGACCACTCCGACCTGCTCAAATCAACTCCAAAAAATCTAAAACTTGGCAGATTAGTCACAAATAATATTCTAAGCTATTCTAAAAAATAAAATTTCAAAAATGACTAAAAAAATTTGAAAAACGATAGGTTGCCTCCAACCAAGCACCGTATTTAACGTCATGGCACGACGCAAATCAACTTTACCACTTTTCTCGCCACTTGGATGATATGAACTGGGAATCCAACTTGGAATCAAGCTTGTGACCACGAGCGATGGGGGTGGTAAGTCGATGATCAAGACAAGACTTAATTTCTTCATTTTGCACTTCTTGGCTTTCATGTGAGGAATGTCATTTTGCTTTCTTGTTCCCTCAAATTATAAGATGTATGGTTGTTGCCTTTCCTCCTTGCAATCCCTCATTGACTCGTGTAGTTCAATTCCCATATCACCACATAATTCCAATGTTGAAAAATGCTTGGAATGTGACTTCAAACCTCCAACTTGCAATTTTTCTCGGATTTTGACATCCTCTTCTTCCCCCAGACTAGAGTCAATCTCAACCAAATTTTTATTTACACCGGTTGACTCTAATTCCATATTGTTCTTGACATCATTAACACTCATGGAGTCGGTTGGATAATGTTCAATTCTTGAATCCTCAAAATAAAGCTCACTTTCTTCCTCAGAATTGGACTCTTCTTGGCATCCTTCCACACTCTCAAGTTGGTGGGCATAGTGAGCCTCAATAAATATTTTTATTTGATCTTCCAAAGTGCGGATATGTTCATCATTGTAAGTCAAGCCTTGTTTTAAGTCCTCGAGTGCAAAGTTGTGCTTCTCCTCATTTTCAAGAATGGTCTCTAACATGAGCATCATCTTCTCATTTTGAGCATTTGAGAGTTCTTCTTGGTTTTGTTCAAACACCAAGGAAGGATTTCCGGCTTCCACATCTAAGGAAATTTTTTGGCTCTCATTAACCTCCAAGGCTTTTTGGACCTTTAAAGCTTCAAGCATTTCTCCCATTTGTGAGTGCAACCTTTCAAGTGCCAAGTCATTTTGGAGACTATTCTCCAAAAGCTTCTCCAAGGCACTTTGTTCTTTGTTTCCTCCTTCAAGTAGGAAAATTGAACAATGATTTTCAATAATAATAACCAACATAGTAATAATGGAAAATGAACCAGATGGAAAAAGATTGACCTTGAGCACTTCTGCTCTCGTACATGTGTTCTGGAGAATGTTGTGCATTGAGCTTGTACTTCCTTGCAATCAACTAGTTGTTTGCATTTGAAAGTTCTTCCTGCTTCCGTATTTTGTTGTGCATATGCAAGTATTTGAAGTTTGGTGTTTCGTATATCTTTAAGTGGTACAAAAGCTTATGAGCAGCTGAATTTGTCTTTACTAACATGGTATTGTATTCATCTGTTATGTATTTGAGCTTGTTCATATTGCGGTCTCTAGAACATGCATTTTGGCGGACTGTCTTGGTTGTCTTATGATCAGAATGTGCACAGAATAGGTGAACAAATTTGTGAGAAATATTCCTCTTTCAAATTTGTTGACTGATGCTAAATAGTTAAGATGTGGATTTTAGATTTCTGTGAATCATCTGATCGAAATTAACAATTAACACAAATCTTATTAGGGTTCATACATGTTAGAATATGTGTACCTCTTTTTTCTGGATAACTAAATTACTCAAGTATGAGATTTGACATGTGGAGAAGTTAAGTGAAATTGTATGCTGATGCAAACTTTGATGGTATCTTACAAAGGAAAAGAACCAGTGGAATTAACTTCTAACCATGATGCTATTCTTGAAAAAATAAAAAATCAACGGAAACTCATGTGTAATTGATTAGACAATGATATATTGTGAAGAGTTCAAGGAAGAAAATTAAGTTGTAAAGTTTGTCAGTAAAATACTTGAATATTTTTGTAGATATGATATAATTATAAGTTGTATATATTCTTCTAGTAGCTGCTCGCAATAGGTGCTTTCTTCTTTGAATACAGGTATATATGGCTTCAGGGTACTCAAAATTTCATATTTTTCTTGCTCTGCACCTTCGCACCAATGTCATTTTCTTTCTTGGGTAGGCACAAATTTCATATTTTTATTGTTTCTTCATATAGAAAGGTTATAAGTTGATTCTTTTTAGTAGTATCATGAATGATTTTTCTGATGTTCCCTCTTTTAGTAATTAATGCCCTTTCTGTTCCTTTTCATGTCAAAATTTTAAATGTACAAATACCCAATTTGCAATAGTAATTCATGTTGCAAGCTTAGATCTTGTCTTCTTAGATTCTTTAGATGTTCTTCAATTTAGGTATGTGTAGATACTTTTTTATGGTCATTTTAAGGTTGTCTTATTTAAGTGCGACTGGTATGAGGTTGAATAAGATATTTATGGCTTTACTTATGTCTACTTCAACAAGAAATGTTATCAGAACGAGCCTTTTGTCCTAGCATCTCAAGTACACCAATGCTTCTATGTGCAAGATCCAAATGATCAAGATAGATATTATGTCATGAAGACTATCCCGAGAGACTTGTTTAGCATAAGTGATGAACTTGAATCTAATGCCCCACAGTGTTATGAAAATGAATATTTGTCTTGCCCATCTATACCGGAGGATAATGGTGAAGTTGCCTTAGTAAGGAGTGATGTTACAACAACCATTCTTGATGTACCTCCAGAAGGATTTCTAGCACAACAACTTGAAATTAAATCGGATGAAGAGTTTGATTTTGAAGACACATCATGAGTTTTTTTTTCTAATTCAAATAGAAAATAGCTTATCCATTTTTTATTAATATCTAGAAACACATTAAAGACTGTTGCTTTAGATTTAAATTGATGTTGTCTATTTCATCAAGTTCAATATTGAATATTTTCTTGCTGATCGATTTCTTTGATGTGCACATATATTTTTTGCTCATGTATTTTCAATGTGTCATTTTTGGTATCACTAGAAATTACTTGATTGGTTATTTAATGTGTCCCTTCTAAGGAACTATATTGTATTATATTTGGATCGAGAATTTGTCCTCTAGTTTTGAATAGAGAAGTGAACGTGAGTAAGTAGAAATTATGCTTCGGAATTCGTATTGTACTATTACCTAGAGTATTAGAGCAAGTTTTAAAGCATAAACATATTTGTGTTTTTATTATTATCAGGTGGTGCACATGCAACTAAAGAAGATATTGGACTAACAAATTTTAAGGAACCAAGAGATATTGAACAGGTATCTTTGTAACTTTGTTTATTTATATATGCTCTGAAATTGTTTATCTACATATCTTTATATATCCTCTGGAACCAAGAGAATTGTTAGGTATGTCATCTCTCACTCTCTTTCTCCTATATATTTGATTTTTTTGTTTATAAAACTAGTGTTCGGGCTAGTGGATATTAGATGTTCCACCATTTTGCTTCATGTTGAAATGTTGACTAGATTTCCCTTTACCGGACATTTTCTACCATGGGTTATATCCAAGTGAAGATTCAAATTTCCGACCCCAACTTTCATGTGACTGAAGCATAGTTGTTGTTGTTGGTTATATCCATATGGTTTTCAACTGATTCTAAATGGACATTTTCTACAAGAGATATTTAGGCTTGTTCTTAACGAAGAGGTCTTTTCAAATGATAAAACAACAAAATGGCCCAGAGTAATAAAGATACCTTTTGGGGAGAAAGTTATACGAATGAAAAAAGAATATTATTCCTGTATCTGGTCACAGAACTTCGTCATCAGTTAAAATTGTGCTATCATACCAGAATAAACAATTCGATTGATCTGACTAAACCTTTCAGGTTCCATTAGAATTTGAATTTTTTTAAGGTCCAGCTGCTACCCTCTTCTCTCTATTTCAATTTGGAAAATTATCTTTTATTTGAAAGGAATTAATGCAACATATTCTGTACTCCTGCAATTGATGGCCAAAAGACAAACTAGAGTTGATAATACATGGGGATATTGCTTCATTTGTGACCATTTTGTAGTGGGGAAAATAGAAATGGTATGTTCAGATTTTGGTGGGTTTGAATGAAATTTTAGAGCATTTTACTTTATCTCATGAAGAGGGGATTGTGACTAGATTTTGTTATCAGAGGAGGGTTATGAATGCCTATTTGAAAAATATTATCTGGAAAACGTGATATACCTTGAGAACTTCATCTGTTAATCTATTTTTTTGACTTTGTGTTGGGATTTTGTGGTCATTTATCATGCGTTGCTTGTTTTATCTTTATCTCCTTGAAGGGTTGTTACTAATTAGTTATTATTAAAGATTTGTATATTGTCTGTCCTAATCCTGATGAAATTTTATTTTAATTGTAAGATAGATATGGAAGAGGGACAAAAAGTATGATAGCCCTAGAGTTACTTGTATGCTTTAGGTATAGATGCCAATTTGTGGATGAACCAGCTTCACCTTGTGTTCTGTATTTATATATGTTACATGGATCCTCTATCTTTGAGCCATCTTTGCTATGGTCGTAGACTTAATTTATTACATATACTTCCTCCACTTCATTTGACCCTCTCATTGCTTTTGAATTTTTTAATTTCATCATCAATTATTTTCTCCTTGTCAATATGTTGTGCTAATGTCCTTAAACTCTAGTGTCCTGAGTAGGAACCTCTTGGCAGGAAGTATTTATTGCAACTATGTTGCCAACAAAGGCTCTTTGTACCCGGTTGAGCCTCAACATTATTATCATTCAAGTGATTCTGTTTTTCAGCATCTTCCATAACTTCTTCAACCTCTAACATTGCAAATTTGTTTCCAACTTGTACCTGCTACCTCTCACCTTGATCTACTGGGACTATTTCTTTCCCAGTCATTGCTTGTGCTGCATTCTGATTATTTGACTTCTTAGCTCGATTATCCCTAACCTCTTTCCATTACTCCTTGCCTCTTCCAGTTACATTACCTACAACCTTCCCACTCGACATTACCATTAGTGTGCCCTGCTGATTCTGATTTGCCTGCTCAAGTTGTTTTCCAGCATCATTCCCAATATCATTCTCAGCTTGCTGCTCGGCAACCTTATTTTCCATTAATTTTGGGTGAAGTCTCCAGCAGTCCATCATATCATGCCCCTGTAATTTGCACTCCTTACAGTACTTGGGTAAGTAATCATACTTAATTATCACCCATTCAGTTCTCAAATTTCCCGAACTTCATTCACAATATCCATATGAACCTTCCTAGGTAAGTCAACTATTAAATCAACCAACATACTGATGCAACATTCTGCACATAAGTCACCATTCCTCCAACCTTTAACTTTGTTCCATCTGGTAATACATCATCTTCCAATATTCCTTTAGGATCCTAAATGAATAAAAAAATATAACTAGTGGGTGGAGCAGGTTATGATTCTTGGTGACTTTTGTAGCTTCTGTTCTGGTGAAACAGTGGGTTTAAGTTGGGGTGATGATGTTGAGGTGATATGTCTATTATTGTGTGAGTGCATGTGTTTTCTTGGTTTGGTTTATCTCTTTTTGTGGTGAAACTGGCTTTAGTGGAGCTCTATATCCAATAGTCTACTCCCAGGTTCTTGTGTGAGGTGTTGGATGTAAGTTGAAGGTGGATTGGATTGAGTACTATGGTATTGGTGTGAAGAGATGATGTTCTGGGCTTGAATTAGTGGGTGGAGCAATGTCCAGGCAAGGAAATAGAGTTTTGTGTGACCAAAGGGGTAACTGGTGCCTTGTTCTCATTGTGTTTTTGCTTGTGGTTGGATTCCACTAGACTTCCTGCAACCTAAACCATATCTTTGTTGAGCTTTCAGTAGGTTGAGCATCAAAGATGCTAATACCACACCCTAAAAGAGAAACAAAGAGTTGAGTAGTTCACTGGGAGAACAAACCTGCAAGAAAATAAAAAGATTAGTAAAAGGTTCAGCACTGGTGTCCACCAGAGGCAGGAATTGGTGCTGCTACTGACATTGGTTCTCAGGGTCTTTTCTAATACTCTGATGAAGTATAGCTTCTGATCCTATGTTCAAAAATTTCTTGATCCTCCACAAAGTGTCGATAAAATAAATGTAGACTAGGGGTTGTTATGTATCTTATTTCTTAAATATTTACTTCCTTACATACTGTTATATAATCTTATTAGTTGTTAGGCTAGAGTAATTTAATTTTTTTTGTATGTAGGATGAATCAAGCGGCAGCTCTTAAGAGAAAAGTTCTGAATCCAAACAAAGCTCAAATTCCAATGAAGAATATAGGTTTCGATTTCCAATACCGATCAAGTGCCGAACTAGTCAAAAAAATTCAGATTAAGATAGAAAAGCTTGCAAGTGATTGCAACGACAAAACTGCTAAAGAGCATGCATTACTAGCAGTTAAAAGGAAGAATTATATGACTGCAACATTAGAAGGACAAAGTAGACAGAGGTTAACTAAATCGGATGTGTCAGTTCAAAAGTTAGGAAGGAATAGATTATCGGTGTACAAATCAATCCAATTATCTTCAAGGGAAAAGCTGAACACTTCACATAATATTGCAAGTAATGGACAAATTAAACAAAGGTCAATGTAATTGGAGGAGCCCATTCAAAAGCAAGGATTGAGTAAATTACCTGTGCCCACATCCATGATCCAATCATCTGCAAAGGTAGATCCTAACACTTTACATATGATTAGAAGAACACAAGGTGATGGAGAGAAACAACTTGATATTTAAGAGCTACAAAATTATAAAAAGGTAAAGACAAACTCAATCCTACCATCGAGGAGTGGTAATCAGTTTCTAAAAAATATGGGATACAAGTAGGTGGTGAAAAACATCCTGATAATCACCCAAAAAATGAAGTCAGATTTATGTCCTCTCCTATTATTGATGAGCGTGAAATAGAATTGGATAATTTTGCTGCACAAGATGAAGTTGGTAACGATGAATTTATTGGAGATGAGGATATGAACATCGATGGTGATGCAGGTGGTATGTCTTAAACCTTATAATTATTTTACATATTTTGATTTTTTCATCTTATGTCTTGCTTGTTATATCAATCTAGGGACATCAGAGAAGAAAAGAATTCGAGAAAAAACAACATGCAAGAATATTCAAGCAAGAAGTTTTGAAGAAAGAGAGGAGATGACATTTTGATAAAGGACAAGCAGTTGGGCCACTGACAATAAAGTGTCTGATTTAACCAACTTTTTAGGAACAATTGCAAGAAATCCAAGATTTATCCCCTTGGTGAATACTAGTTGGCATGCTGTGTCAAAGGATATTAAGCGCCGAATATGGGAATATGTCAATGTAAGAGTAATCAATTTTTTAATTATATATTTTTTATATTTTTCCTACTAAGAAGNTTGATAAAAATGCTACTATTGAACAAATGCTACAAAATCGTCCCAATGAGATACCTGAAGTTCAGTTTCGTCAATTTATTGAGTATTGGGATGACGAAGATGTCCAAGTAAGATTAAACCGTGCATTTCTATATTTTATACCTATTGTTGTAGTATATATTTTTTCCTTTTTGATTTATTAATTAATATGCTTCCTTTGTTGTTAGGCTATGTGCCAATTGGTAATATTTAGTCGACACTTTGTAACCTTACTTTTATTTCTTTTTGTACTTTGTCAGAACAAAGTGATATCTTTTTTATATCTTTTTTGATGTAATTTGTAGCGCGCAACCAAAGAGAACAATGAGGAACTATCAAAGTCTGAAATGTTTATTACAACTCGTACAAAAAAGGGAAGGAAGTTCATACAAATACTCAAGTTGCAATAGTAAGTCATGCTGCAAGTTAAGTCTTGTTATTGTATTTTTTTTCTCTTTAATGAATGTGTTTCTTTAACTGAAGGAAGTCCATACGCATATCTGTAGTTTCTTTTGGAGAGGAGTCCTTGACTCCTCCACTGGTCTACTCATCACATGTGTAGATGGAAGTGATGAAATTATTCTTACATCATTTGCTAATACTTCCTTAAAATGATCCAAGTCAAATATATGAGAGAACTCACTGCAAACAAACACCAAAAAGAAACATAAAACATACGTTAAGAAATCAAAAACATCCCAGAATAGCATAAAAATCCAACTTAGACCAAACATAATGTCACTCTATGAAAATAATCAGTTTTCTACCAAATAATTGAAGTTTTTTTTAAAAAAATTGCCTAAGTTTATAGAATTAGGCAGGGAAATAAACATTTTCTCAAATGAATGAATGACAGACCAAAAAGATAAAACTTTTGAGCTGGAAAACAAAGAAAAATGGTTCAAAAATAGAAAAAGAACAAACCTTTCATCACCCCAAATGATATTAACTTGCAAAATGGGAACAACAAGAGCAACACTAAGAATCCTAGCAATTACCACAGTATCCACAATCTGATTTCTTTGCTAATTCATTCCACCAGAAACCACCACCATTAAATATGTTTTCCTTCCTTTTACAATATTTATACTTGTTTTCATATACTCTGCACTGAAATCCAAACAAGGCCTATAACCCAACCCATCAGGTTGTTGCCAAAACTCACTCTTTTCATCCCCTTCATCTTCTTTTTCCCCCACATTTAAAGCTCCAATACTGAGCTGAGAAACGTGTTTGTCATTTGAGAATGAGCTCTTTTCTTGAAAAATCTCACATGGGTTTGGTGTAAAAAGAACTAAAGTTTCAAAATTAAACCATATCTTTAACATACCAACAAAACCAAAAGAAAAAAGAAACAAAACCCAGAATCTTGGATTATTGAGCAGAAGCCTGAGCTTTATGGAAAAAGATGGACTCTTTTTCTTGGGAGAAAGTAACAGAGACTAAAGTTCTGAAGAAGAAAATGAATTTATTATTTGAGATGGCACTGCTATGTAAACTGCTTCTTCTTGTTGCTCTTTGACACTGTTATTTTAACAATGAAAACAAAGCTTTTTCCCCGTTAAATATGTGTAAATTGTTGATGTGTTTAACTTCTGTTTGTTTGAAACTTCATATTAAATTGGTTATGATCATTGTCGCTGAAAACTCTATTGACATTCTTGACTAAATTTTGAGGCCTGCTAAACTTTTTTTAATCTAACTTGACTCGTTGAAAGTTATTTTAGTGTTCGTTCTATCTTGACTTGTAAGTGATGTGCAATAATATTTTTTTTGACAGTCTGAACTTCAGAATCGTCAAAGTTCCGAAGAAACAACAGATGATGCATTTAGGGTTGTATTTGGAAAGGAGCAGCCTGGTCGGGTTAGATGCTATGGTAGATCGGTGATGACAAGCTCTCTGAAAAAAATGAAGAAATCACCAAGCTTAAACAAAAGCATGCCAATGAAATAACTTCTCTAAAGGAAGAAATGATGAGAGAAGAAATGTGATATTTTTTTATTCAATTGGTGAAAAACAACCCTGGACTGGATTTTAATGATATACAAGGGTGTGTTGGATCTAATATTCCTTCACCAGTTGATGCAAGTAGTGCACGAGCTATGAGAGGCTAAAATCTGCCACAGTCTTCTGGCTCAACTCACGCCCCATGTCTTGAAAAGGTATTTATATTTCCCAATTCCAAAAACTACCTCAATCTTAACTTACAAAATCATGCTTTCTAACCAGTGTATACTATATATATATGTTTCTCCTAATTTTTAATTTCATTTTGAATGTGTAGGAAATACGGGCGATGCAATTGGATATGGTGGTCACAAATCAATTTGATTCATTAAAGTGAATGGTGAAGACCTTTTGAACAATTGGGATGTTTATTTTTATTGATTCTATAAATATGAATACATTTGGTTTTGTAGAGGTCTCTACTAGTGAACTCTTGAACCAATAGTGCTTTATTACTATAGACAGTACACAAAGTATGTTTCTTTGTTGAAATTTATTTTAGGTATATGCATTTGAATTATTTTTATTCTATTACTTATTATCTAATTTAATGCTTGATATATATATATATATATGTGTGTGTGTGTGTGCGCGTGTGTGTGTATGTATGTGTGTGTGTGTGTGTGTGAGAGAGAGAGAGAGAGAGAGAGAGAGAGAGAGAGAGAGAATAGAATTTGATGCAAATAAATATAGTTTTTTAACCACAAAATTGTGACTAATATAAGTATTTGAAAGATAACTTTGTAGTGTAGACAAAATCGCCATGCTTAAAAAATGCGGCCATAGGGATTGTCAATCTGGCATTGCTAATGATAAATGTTGCTCTAGAAGCCACACTTTGTAAGCGTAGACTATAACGTGACAAAGATCACGCTTCATAAGTGTAGCCTTATGTCATAAAAGCATGGCTATATGAGAAAATATAAGTGTGACCTTTGTACCGTATCGACCACACTTTTAAAGTGTGGCTTCTAAGGCAACATCTACAAAGCGTTGTTACAACCCATATCCACATGTGTTAGTTCATGCCATATATTAGTTAACATAAATCCAAG